ATACAACTTGATGGTAAGAAGATTATCTGTGTTTTGTTGGAAGTATTTTTACGATAATTTAGTTTTTAAGTGAGTAATGTGCGTATAATAACTTGTAAAATAAAAATGCTCATGACTCACTTAAAAACTGAATCATCGTAAAAATACTTCCAACAAAACACAGACAATGTTCTTACCATCAAGTTTCATAATAGGTCTAATGTGAACTTCTGAGCGTAAATTTGGTATGTTACGCGTTTGTAAGACTGAGATAACAAATACGGGTGTTGCGCGCTCTTAAGTAATTCAATTCAAAAATTGATCTTTGAATATATTTGAAAATTCCAACAAAAAAAAATAAAARGAACTAGGTTAAATTCATTATTAAATAAAGAAAGGYGTTAAATATTCGTAGTGAGTTTTTTAAAAATAATAAATTACAAGAAACAACAATATTATTAAGATGAAAARCYCTTAAAGTGTTATTTGTTACAGAATTTTCCTTTTTCTCTCCTCGTTTTACGGCAACAGTTAATATTATATGTATATGATATTTTCCCAATTAATGTATACAGTTTTCTAAAATCTATAACTCTAAGTAACATTAAGAAACAAAATATATCAATAATCTATGCAGTTTATAATCATTTATTTAATTATATGATCTAATGAACTAAATAAAGTCACCACTTAAAAAACAAAAAAAATACCTATCTAAATTTATTTTTAAGTAACATAGTTTTTAAACCATTATTATTAATATATACATGTATGACATACCTCATATATATGTTATGAATTATATTCATTAATATGTGATTTGTTTACATTTCTATGATAACCAAAAGTATAGCACTGAAACAAATGTTTTATGAGATCATAATATTTATTTATTTTTATCTTGATAACGTGATCGAAAAAATAGTTGCTTCCCAATATTTTTATTACAAATAGAATATTCAGCCATAGTAAAACTCGTATTTGCAGTAAATTAAATAAAACTTATTGCAATGAAATTTGACTGAAWTAATAATTAAAACTACAATTATAAATTCAGCGCAATTGTGTCTGTGATAAGGTAGAGAAAAGACAATAGTTTGAAGCGTTTTACGTTTATTCCAGAAATGAAAAATCCATGGTACGCGTGTCCAAGGAGGAAAGCGAACAATTTTTGAGGGAACGCAAAAAATTAAAATATTTTTATTACATATAATATAATATGTTGGCTATATTTTAATGTATAATATTTTTCATGGCACGCTCGAAAAAAAAATGTAATTTTTGGCACGTAGCGTTCAAATAATTTGTCACCTCTGATATATTCAATATACACCTCTTCATGTATCCAAAATAATTTTTGTGAGATACTGGCCAAACTGAAGTACTTGGATCGTTAAACCTCCATATAGAACCGACTCTCGGTGGTTTCTTGTCTCACCGGTGGAGTGGAACTCGTGTATGTTAGGCATTCAAGCCAGATAAAGTCTAAGCATTTTTTTTTTTATTATTAAAAAAAGTAAAATATATTTTTAAACTACCTACATATATATAACTCATTTACAATGCATTTAATACACTATGTTTTAAATCAAAGTTTATTATTATACATGTATTATAAATAATATGTGTAGGTACTTACTTAATATATTAACACTATAATAATATCTCATCTCATCATACACGCCTTTCAAGGTCAACAGTTTGCAGTGTTTGAATGAAATATGATAAACCTTTGCGCACATAGTTTTAAAGAGGTAATTTCACGTTTTTGCACATTTAAAAAAAAATGGTAATTTATGGTTGAGCTGGTTTTATGTATAAACTTATATTKGATGATTCAGTAAACAATGTTTTCTTTTTTTCTAATTAATTTATTCAAATATTAATTTTTGGAATTTTAGTTTCCATATTTTCAAACCTGAGATTTTTTTACTTCTCAAGAAGTTTGATTATTGGTAAATACGGATACAAAATTCTATTTTTAAAATGATAATCCACCATTTTAGTTTTTATTGTAAATTATTATATAGATAATTGAAAATTAAATTTTAGTGTATTTATATCAAAATTTGGTCGAGTAATAAATTGTTTCCCAATGTTCTCTACAGTGCAATCATTAAGTACTACAAAAAGTCTTAAAAATTTGAAAATATGGTCTTTAATTATATACAAATTTCAAAAATCAGAATTTCAACTGTTTTTTTTAAAAGGAAAAGTGGGTTAGTAAAAAAATGCATTTGGACTTAATATAAGTACACAGGTAAATTATTGTTTTTATATAAAATTGTTAACTCATGGTATTAAATGATTATTATTATTTKTAATAATCATTGTTATTAAATATTATTATTGTATAMTATTTCTTAAGCAATATTTAAGTGCTGAAATATTCTAAACACCAGATTATTAAATTTATTGT